TATATATATATATATATATATATATATATATATATAAGGGGAAGTGAAACTAGTACTACCATCATCTGCAAAAGATTATGGACGATCTACTGATAATTCATTTAATTTCAAATATTTTCAGGAATATGAAATTTCCCACATGTACCACATTAAACTCTCTTAAATGGTTATACGAACAATTGATTAATTTCATTAATATATTTTTTTATAAAAAATTATTTCAATTTAATTTCAGAAAATTTTGAACAATCAACAAGATCAACAATCAGTATCAATTGTTCCCAGTGGAATTTATACGGGTCATGAATATGAACCACAAGGAATAGATGAAGGTCGATCCTCATTAAGTAGTAGTTCACGAAGTGATCTAACTCAATTACCATCATCCAAGCATATTTTAACAGCGGTGGAACGTTATAGTACCGATGATTCTAATAATAGCATTTCTGGTACAAAACAAATCACCAATGATGCTACCACTAAACTAATCATGCAAAGGTTAACTATTTTTCAAGATAAAATCATTTATTTTATCATCCTTATCTTTTTTTCTTATCTTTTCAATTTACCATCTTCATTTTTGATATGTTATCTTAATTCTCATCCAAAAGAATTTTGGATTATTTTAAATTATTTTAGGATACTGTGAAATGGTTAAGTGATTTTAGGTACAAAATCAAATCATCTCATTATCCATCGCCAGGTATAAATAAACGGAACTACTCAACCGGACAATCTATGGATCATAACATGCAATGGGGAACTTCTGTTGATTCTGGAACCGGTTTCAGTGAAGGAACAATAGTAACTAATGGTAAGCGAGAGAGAGAGAGAGAGATCAGTAATAGGGAATTATTGAAAGTTTTCTGGTCAGGATAGAAATGTAACAATGAGAGTGAAATTTCAACAATTGTTTTAAGAAGGGGGAAAGGTATTGGGTGAGGTTGATTGATTGGAAGGAAGAGAAGCAATTTTTAGGATAATTTTTTCAGATCTTCAAAATAATATCACTAGTTGAAAATGACATTGTATTATTAGAAATGTTTTCACTTATTCTTATCAATTATAGTCATTTTATACATGAACAAAATTATTGCGCCGTTTGTTTTTTTCTTACCATTTCTTTTAAATTTGTTTAAATTTTCTATTTAGGCCTCTATTACCTGTGTCTGTATCTAGTTTACCTGTATTTCAGGTGATCAAACAGTCAGTACATCAACACCAAAGACTATCCGTAAGTGGAAAAAAACGAAAACAGTCAAGCAATGTTCATCTAGTCGATCTGATAAAACACCTTCACAACATTCATCTGCATTAGGTCAAAAAATCGTCGATTATCCGACAAGTGGTGATGGTGATGTAAGTTTCCTTTCCATCATTATTTGGCTAAATAATTTTAGAAGACCTATTTTCTATGCGTGGGCGATATGATCTGAGTGAATTGTTGACAGAATTGCTTGATTTTAATTTGTTTTAATTTCAATTAGAGCTTACATGACTTTGGTATATATGTGACAGATTACATGGATAACGTAATATCAGCAAGAGAAAGATAAAAGAGTAAAGGAAACGATATTCTGATGAAGAGAATATCTAAGTTTGAGAAGTTCTAAAACCTCAGTTATTTCTTTATATTGCTGTTACCCCAAGTGATGAACAGTAAGGATAAAGCGCATATTAGAAAATCAAAAATACTTTTCATCGCATATAAGTAAGATAACATTCGGGTTGTTGAATGTTACTGTTTTGTTAATGCACATCCTATCAATAATCATCAAGGTAAAGACTGTTTGAATTAATGTTATTAAGTTTTTTGTAATACAACTTCGAGGATGTTGATATGTCGATTTTCAGTTTTATATTTTCCAATTTCTGTTATCCAGTTGGCTTCTTAACATTCCTTTCTCCCATTGTTTTGAAACGTATAGTGAGAATTAAGCAGTGATAAGAAATCAATATCCATTTGATTTCTCACCTCGAACCTTTTGTTTTCACTTCTTTTATTGTTTCTGAAATTTGATTATATTATTTCAAAAACTCAAGTTTTCATTGATATTCAATTAAATTTACTGAATATTTCTAGATGGTTCCATTGATTATCAGACTATGTGTAAGAGTTGTGGAAGCAAATGGTATGGATACGGTAGGCATTTATCGAATTCCGGGTAACACGGCTGCTGTGAATGCTTTGAAAGAAACACTCAATAGTGGTTTTGCAAATGTAAATATTTGAAGTTTAAAAAAAAATTTTTCTCCATATCTGAGTAAATTGACAAATTTTATGAAAAAAAAATTCGACCCTTCAAATATGTAATTTGTGGTATTAAAAAACTTTGTATAACATTTGGTAAAATTGTTTTGTAATTATCGAAGTGCACATTGAGAAGTTCCTTTTAAATACTATCAATCACAAGTATTAAATACTAAAATTATTCCTTGAAATAAAATATTGTGAATCTTGTGATAATGTTGGATGCTAAACAAAGATAATAATGAGCTTTTTGAAGTAAATTCGGATTAGGTAGACTGCTATGATTAAATCTCAAATAATTTTTTTTTTTTTTGGTGTGTATGAAAAAAGTCTAAAGATAAGATCTTTTTTTTTTTCAGATTGATTTTACGGATTCAAGATGGAATGATGTAAATGTTGTTAGTAGCTTACTGAAGATGTTCTTACGTAAATTACCGGAACCATTGCTAACAGATAAATTGTATCCATTTTTTATTGATGCTAATCGAATTGCTTCTCATCCACAACGATTACGGAAACTTCGTTATTTGGTAATTTATTTGTTTCTGTAAATGGACTGTTGGAAGATTTTTTTTCCATATATGCCTTTATATTTTCTTGATAAATGATGACATTTTTTAGAAAACTTTAGAAATATCAAATTGAATTAGGTTTTATAACTTCTTGAAGTTGAAGTTAAATATATTTTTGGAGCAAAGCATGATTACGCTCATTTTAAATGTGTATGTTTAATTTACAGACTCGTAAACTTCCTTCTGCTCATTATCAAACATTGAAATATTTGATGGGACATTTAAGAGCAGTGGTTGAACATAGCGATATCAATAAGGTAATTTACTATTAAATTACTGATTTGAATCTCTTTGTTACAAGATATCCTTGTTCGTTCATCACTCTAAAAAAAAACTTGCTTTTTTTTAAGCAAATTTTTTTTCTCTTTTCCCATAATCTTTGCGCAAACTTGATCACTAGTTAGAAGTTACATAATAAGACTGAAACATGATTTAAGTTCCTCGAATAATTTCTTATTTTCCAATCAAATAAACGAATTATTCTTTTGTAGATGGAAACACGTAATTTGGCACTAATGTTTGGTCCATCGATTGTAAGGCCTAGCGATGATAATATGGCTACAATGGTGACACATATGTCTGACCAATGCAAGATCATTGAAACATTCATTACTTATGTATGTATTACTTAAATTCTTATGGATTGGGAACTATAAATTTTGCTGTTTGAAATTAAACTTTTAATCTTTAGATAAATGAAAAATGTAAATAAAAAGAGGGAATCGTATCGTTCCATTACGCGTATGCATAATTTATTGGGCGCAGTTGTTTGTTCCTTTGGTCATTCTATTTGCTAGCCGTATATTTGTTTTAATTGTATTTTCTGAAATCATTTTTTTTTTTTAGTATGACTGGATGTTTGATGATAATAATACAGCGGAGGATGAAGTCCCACCGCAGATTTCCACATTAAATGATTCTGCTATGGGCAGTAATCTTGCAACTGGTAGTGGTGAAAATGATTCTGGTATTATGGCTACATCATTCAATGATATGCATAATTTAATTAGACGGGTTAATGAGGCCGAAGCTATCGCCGTAATGGATGCGCAAAAAAGTGGAAAGGTAATTTTGATCTTTGAATATTAGAAATTTTCAGTAGTTGAACCAAAATGTAGTGGTATAAAAATAAACTCCCATAAATCAATGTTCTATCAATTATGGAAGTTTTTTTTTTATCAGATCTGTATTAGTTAGGTTATCAGGATCGTTTTACTACAAGATGTTGAAATATTTTATCAATTTTAGATAAAGCAAATTTTGAATGTACGACGTAATTCGAAACGTGAAAAGCGCAAAAAAGCACGTGATCATTCGATTTATGCTTCAAGCATTGCATCTACTCAAAATGTTAGCAAAATCACAGATAGTGCTGCTAACACATGCGAACAATCAGTTATGGGAGTTTATCAGGTCTGTAATGTTACGTTATCAGATTCTTCTACTAGATGACATCTGTGATCGTAGATAATAAAATATGATTTATTTAAGATATGAATTGAATGGTCAATGTTTTGATATGAAGTTCTGTAAAATCGTTTTCACACCCATATTTTATCGGGAGTTTGTAGGAACGTGATATCGATGCCGAAATAGCCTCACGTCAGCATCAGCAACAAACTCCAGTCAGTTCCACTCAACCGTACGCTGGTACCAGCTCATCGGCTGATCATTCGCCTTCACTTGGTTCATCGCATGATTCGGCATCTCAAACAGTAATCTCTCCATTCAGTTCATGTAAAATAAAAGATGGAAATGCAGAGAATATACAGAATTACAATGAAGTGGACGAAATGAGACGTCGAAGACAAAAGGTCATTTTCCCATCGATCATGTTCCACTTTTAGACTATTCGATATGGTTTCTTCAAGTTTTAGTTTAATCAATGTAATTTTGACATTAATAATCCTTGTTGTTTGTTATTTTATATTTTCGAACATTAAAAGAAGATCAACTAGAACGTTCATTATGCAGTGAGATTCTCTTGAACGAATCCACTGAGAAAGGTATTGTGTGCTAGGTATTATTTCCCTGACTTATAGTTTACAAATAGTAGTAAGTACTTTTTTGCAAGTGCAATATTATGCTGTTTAAAAATTGCGCGAATGCACATTTTTGTTGTGGCTAAATTTGACTTTCAGGAAATTTATTCTGCACGACGGATTTTTATTGCTGGTACTGATGCGGATCTGGATGATTATGCTGATCTGGATGAACTCGTCAATCATTCCCGACATCTGAATTTGGCATCTTCGCCCACTCTTGATGTTTTGAGCGCTGAAACACGTGAGAAGATTCGGCGCCTACAACAACTCCAAGGATGGGCTTCTACTGCACTCGAAAGACGTGACGTTGAAGTGGGAATGAAGACAAAACGTTCTTTAAAACAAAAGACTCATGGCGAGGTATTATATTGATATTTGGAAATGATTTCATTAATTTTATCAAAAAAAAAAATCTTAATAGTTTTGAAATTCA